ACCCCGCTGCGTCCCTGGGGCTGCTCGTCAGGCTGAAGCGGCGCGTGGCAGTGGGTGAGCGCGTCTAGCTGGAGACTTCTTGGTTTTTAGCACGGGTGAGGGGGAGAGAAGGATAATTTATTGTCGCTTAACAGCACTGTAATTCATACAGACGTACAGCTTCAGAGAAGCTCTGACGTTGAACTGGTATCTGGGAGTCTAATGAAAACTGTTCAAGTGTTCAATTACACCTTTCTTACAAACTCCACAGGACAAAGGAGTCTTTTTTTTTTTTTTTTTTTTTTCTTCTTGTTTTCATCAGTTGTTAGTGTAGACTGAACTACCGTGAGGGCTCGCGTGTTGGCTGGAAGCTGGAGGGAGGTGATGGTCTCAGGTAATGATTCCTTTCGCTTGCCGAGAGATGGTGGGGAGATTTTTCTGCCAACTTACTCGCTTTGGAATGGCCACCTTTGAAGTGGATGCTGCATGGCTTAATTCATCCGGGAACATCTGGTTGCATTCATGATTTGAAACCATCTTTGTGAAAGCTCCTTTAGACTATCAGACTTCCAGGTACATAGCAAAAGCCTACCAAAAAAAATCTGAAACATCATCTATGGCAGCATAGGAACCACAGTAATGGTAGGTGGGTAAGTAAATACAAGGTGAATATTTGAAAAGTGAACTTGTTATTCTCTCACCTGATACAATGTGCTTCCAAGGATTCTTTCATTCCTTTGAGCTCAAAATTTGCTCTCTGCTCCAAAGCCAATACCCATTTTGTGGTAGCCATTCATGTAAAATGAACAGCATCAGAAATCAGGATTACTTCTATTTATAGAGTTCATGTGACTTACTATTGCCTGCTAGTATTTATGTACCCAAGAAAAAGAAGTGGCGACGAAATCCTGGTATGGGATCATAGAATCATTAAGGTTGGAAGGGACCTCTAGAGATCATCTAGTCCAACCCCCTGCACACGCAGGGTCACCTAGAGCACGTGGCACAGGACTGCATCCAAGTGAGTTTTGAAGATCTCCAGAGAAGGAGACTCCACAACCTCTCTGGGCAGCCGGTTCCAGTGCTCTGTCACCCTCACTGTTAAGAAATTTTTCCTTAAATTCCTGTGGAACTTTTGGTGCTTCAGTTTGTGGATCACCACCAGTATGAAAGTAATTTAATGTGGTGGTTGTGTCAGCTTCCTTGCACATTCTTCAGGCTTCTCTTATATGCCTCAATTTTGATATTCCAGTACTGGTTAATTTGTGATCTGTTATGCCCTCCTTTAGCTATGAACCAGATCACTTAATTTCTTTTGTCCCAACTAAAACAGCCTTCAAGTCATTACTGTACAATTTTATTTTTCTCATTTTATTTTTTCTAGTTTTGGTCATTAGCCTGTAGAAGATCCAACCTTTAGCCCTACTCTGTAGATTCCTTGCATTAAGGAAGTCATGAAATACATTCTTCGTTTTACTTCTTACCAGTAGATTCCTGTGTGCCATTTGAAGATAATTGAAGATAATTGTAAGTAGAAATAGACTTTTTAGCACATAAATGGCTTCCAGAGCCTAAACTCCACATTAAATATCTTGCTGAATTGACTCTTCATCTTGCAGCCATGAGGAAAATCAGGAAGGTGGTAGGTTTTTTCAAACTGCAACTTTGTGTCCACTTCAGTGGGAAGTGAATTAAATGTAAACTGATAGCGGTTAATCTGTTCAGTACTTAAAATTTTTCAAAATGCTCCATAGAGACTTAGTTGATATTTTTATTTTATTCTGCTCACAGATTAGCAATCGGAGCAATTAAAGGGATTACGCAGTCAGTCACTGAAAGAGTCAGGATTTGGATGATCATCAGGTATGGTTTCTGGTTCCCATCGTAGCATTTCTACTTTTGCACTACTATGTCAAATAACTACTGTGTCCAATAACAGATGCTGTTTTTTTCTCTCTTCAGGAGTATGAAGAACACACCTAATTCTCTCACTAGCGGTAGTTATTAAAAACAGTAGTTAGTGAATGTTGTCATTTGGGGATTAAAAAAAAAACTGCCTGTAAAGGAATTCAACAAAGGCTGTTTCACAGATAACCTGTTAATGCATTAAAAATTATATTCTAAGTGTCATTTCAGCATATTTTATGGTTACAAGCTTGACCGCTGCTGTCAGTGAAGCCAGATGCTATAAAACACCTTTATAACTTTTAGCTCCCTTCGAGGAGCTAAACATCCCAAAATAAATTCCCCCTACCAAGATGTAGATGTATCACACAGTTCAAAGGTGACTTAAATCCTCAGTACTACTGCATTTAAGTAGCTACTAAAGGGCTTTTCCTGGCCCAAGGTATTCAACAAATAGTGCAGCAAAATGTTGCTCATCCAGTGCAAATGGCTTCTCTAAGGGATTAACTTGCTTCTGCATCCACCATTACCAGAATTCTTGTATTTTGTGTATATACTTAAATTGATATTTTAGCAGAAGACAGCAGCAATTTTCACAAGAAGTCTGTACTTGTGATTAGTACTTCCATTAATGAGTGCAGTTGCAATGTTACTTAAAGGGTAGTGTCACTAGAGGGCTTTATTCAGATTAACACATTTTTGTAAAAGCGTAGGTGGTTTGTACTTGCTTTTAAGTGCTACACTTAAAAGTTACTCTGAAGAAAACCATAGCATGTACGTTCCTTCAAATTTTGCAAAATTTCCAAGTGAAAAAGTATGTTGCAGATTTTATGCTAACAGAAAATTAGGCTTGAATGATGAAGGTGAACTGGCACAGCCTGCCTCAGAAAACATTAGAGGTGTCACAAGTTTTAGGTCGCTTTAAGCTCTAAAGGGAGAACAAGGCAACTGACTTCATGTAGTTGAGAAATATGCATGACTTTGACCCATTAAGCGCTCACAAGGTTAGTGCAATATCTCTCTGAGAAACTTCTTGAAAACTAATTTCAATATTGGGTTAACTCCAGTGAGATAGGTCTCAGGTTAAAGCTGGAAGAATCTGGAAGGCTTTAAATATATTTGATTTTAAGAAAATGTATTATTTCCTTTTTTGTGTTTGTGTGTGTGATTTGCAACCTGTTTTTGCATAGAAGTAATCTCAGTGTGGGAATCGCATAATAAATGATACTTTGCATTCTTTTTAATGGCATGCTAGTGTGAAAAACACATGGAATTGATTGTTTATTTTGGTGTTTTTGCTTTCTGAGTGGTTTAGGTGATCGTCTCTTATAGGAAGTGTAGAGTTTTGTTTTAGCTCAACCTACCTTCAGTGATGGCTTATGTGTGAAACCAGCTGATTTGGCACTGAAGTGAGTTTAAGGCTTACCTAATTTGAGCGTAGAGTTAGCAAAGAAAAACTAGAGAAGTAACTGATAAAGGTGGATGATGGTCAGCACCTGCTTTGTACTGCTTAAAATCATAAAGTGTTTTAAGCATCTGTTAGATTTCTAAATTCCTTTGAATCAGCCTGTTTCTTCTATTCCAGTGGTGTAACGTATCCACACAGATTTGTCAGTAAGTAATGTGGTGTGGTAATCTGCATGCTGGAGATAAAGCACATCCAAACAGGAAGATGCGGACTTCAGGTAACCCTCCCATTCAAAATCTGTGTGCAGTTTGACATGGGAGCAACC